AGCACGACGTTGGGGTTCTTCGGCGCAAAGACTCAGATCCTAGATGACAGCAAGGTAGTACTGGAGTTTGAGGCGCCCGAGGGAACGACGGGCGAAGTCCACGTTCCTGTGCTGAACTGCGGTGGCCGGGTTACCTTGATGAAAGCGCGGAGTCAAAGTGAGGACTGCGCCGTGGATATTAGCGTGGGCGCAGGTGAGCAGGAGAGCGTAGTGTTGCAGGATGTGCCTGGCGGCAAGTGGACAGCTACGTTCCAGTGTTCGGAGTAAGTTTTCCTGTACTATAATATCTGGTTTCAATAAATCATGTGTCAGCTGTGAGCTGTTTTTCTTGTCGTGTAGGGTATGTATACTAGCCACCCTAGGACAATGGAAGACAACATCTCCTCTTTTCCAGGTCGCGTTCCCGCACTAAATTCTCAACATATATGTGTCCCGGCGAATACTCGCGGTTTTTTGTCGTATTCCGCGGACAAAAGTGCACCCCCCCCAAGCCCGTGTTATGCCTTGATTTGAAGTCTTGGATGTTGTTGTTCCCCAAGGAACCCGCCCGTATTTACTCAATATCCTCGCAGAGTGGAGAGAATCCGGTTTTCTGTTATGCGGCTGATGGGCCGCGAACGAGATCGGGAAAACTTATGGGGCTGATCCATGTAGTGGGAGGAAGATGTAACCGTAAGCGACATGGGCGGCTCCTTTACGGATAGTGCGCCGATAGCCGTGGTTACCTGGAGTAACATGGAGAACTAGACATGCCGTAACAATTTCTGTTGCGCGATGGACGGCGTTTGTGTCGACGGAGCAACGAGTGACATGGCAATTGTATCATTTGAGATACTATGCGCTTTAGGTATGGGTCTTGATGCTCCATTGATTTCTTTTTTCAAGGCTGACTGACTCGCGATGTAGACTACTCTTACCAAGAAACTGGTTGTGGCGGACGACGGCTCATGTCGTCGCTACTGTTACGGGCGTAGCGATGGGCGATCCATGTACTGATCGACTGAGTCCCAGAAGTTGCCGTATGGACTCGATGCTTATGTGTTGTTGTTATTGTTATTGTTGTCAAGGAAAAAAGCCGGTAGACAGCCTGCTCTTACATCTCCAGTCAAGTCTGGGCGGGATCAAGGATATTACATGCACGTCGTCTTGTAATACATGACAACAACGAGCCGGAAAAGGAAAATCGGCCAGCGCCACGCAGGAGGATGGCGATGCACGATTACCGGCATGACCCTTGAGCTAGCAGCAGTTTGCCGCGCTGTCGAACCAGTACCCCGCTCTAAGCGGCCGACAGCAGGTTGGGTGTGAAACAGGCGTTCCTATGAAGAGGCGCAATGGGTAAGGCGGGAGGTTGCCCCTCGCAACCGAGGGCTGAAAATAGTCCGGGGGTAGAGGGGGCCACAAACGCCTATGACCACTAGGCCGCTGGCAACTTTGATCTACAGCCCGACCTCTCAACAGTTGCATCACTGCTTTTCTGTATTCACTCTTTTATTTCTTGCCGTCTTGGAAAGGTCCCAAAGACGTGTGGTGCGCCCGCGTTGTGTTGTTCCTCCGTCGCTGTTCCCTCGTTTGCACTCCACGCACGCGACTCCGACGGCATTCTCCTATAGGAAGCGCGCGCGCTCATTTCTTCGCTTCTTCCCCACTGTGCCTACCCACCACGACAACGCATCCACGGCTCTGCTTTTAACCGAAACTTTGTATGCGCCTTGGAATATTGCGCTTGCGGGGCTGCAGACACCATGGACACGAGTTACCTAGCCCAGCAGGTCACGACAATCATTGGCCAGCTGCACGGCCTCTTCGACGAGATCGGTGTCCCCAGCCATGAGCGAGACTCGCGCGAGGCAGAGGTATGCGACAGGCGCACATGCCCGTTCTTTATGCGACTGCTGACAGTCTGGTAGCTCTTCTCTGCACTGTCCGAGACGCTGCACAACCAATTGCGCCAGGTGACCAACGAGAAACATGAAATGACCGAGGAGGCCCATCGCCTTCTCAAGACGATCCGCCAAATGGAGGCCTCGCTCGACGACAGCAGGCCAAATCCGAATTACGAAGACCATGATGATGATGACGCCATTACCTTCCCCTTAACGCGCTGTTTGCAATCCCTAAAGGAGAAATACAACTCGGTGAGCAGGCGACACCAGGAGCGCTTCGAGCAAGTGCGAAAACTGGCCGAAGCACTCGAGTCGTACGCATCCCACCTCGAGTCGTCGTTTGTACAGATCAAGCTCCCGCCCACTGCGCCGAATGCGACCGTTTCGCCCTCGTTTGACATCTCCCCGGCTTATGTAACCAAACTCGACAACGAGTTCACGCGCGTATACGAAGAGTACACACGGCGGATAAACACAGTCCAGGTAGTCTGCCAAGAGATTATTCAGCTCTGGGCCGAACTCGGTACCCCCCAGGCACAAACCGATGGCGCCATTGTCAAGTACTATCGCGACTCACCCGAACAACTTGGTCTTCACCAGGACGATCTCGACGAGTTACACGCCAAAAAGGAACGCCTGGTCGAGGAAAAGCGCGGGCGCGAACGACGACTCGGACAGCTGCGTGCTACGATTGAGGATCTCTGGGATCGCCTAGGAGTCGAGGAGCGGGAGCGCAAACAATTCCTTACGAGCAACCGCGGATGCGGTCTCCGCACCATTAACGAATATGAGGATGAGCTGGCCAGATTGAACGAACTCAAGCGGCAGAACCTACACTTGTTTGTTGAAGAGGCCCGGTGCAAGCTGCAGGACCTATGGGATGCCCTGTACTTCTCCGAGGAAGAAATGTTGGATTTCACACCCGCCTTTTCGGATGTCTGTAGCGATGCACTGCTGGCCGCACACGAAACTGAAATCGCCCGACTCGAAGCCCTAAAGGAACAGCGACTCCCTATTCTGCAAAAGATTGACCGACACCGCGAACTGATCAAAGAGCGTGATGAGCTTCAGCAATCGAGTCAAGACGCAACACGTCTCATGGCCCGCGGCAACAAGGGTGAGAGACGTGACCCAGGCAAGCTTCTGCGTGAAGAGAAGATGCGGAAGCGCATCGCAAAGGAGTTGCCCAAGGTTGAATCTGTAAGTATATGGCGCCTGCGAGGCAAATGACCAAGCTAATGCCACTATGACAGGATCTGAAAAACATCCTAGAAAACTGGGAAGATGAATATGGACGGCCATTCCTGGTGCACGGCAACCGATACCTTGATGAGTTGTATGCCGCTGCAGCGAAAGCAGCAGCAGCTCCACCCCGTGCAAAGACGCCTTCAAACAGTGGGATGCCGAGCAAGTCAGGGACAGTGTCGAGGAACGCTGCTCCTAGCCGTGCTGGGACCATTCGCGGTGGAGCACCGCCAACGCGTTCGAAGACTCCTGTGTCCAACTACGGCGCAAGTGTGTCGAGACATACCATGTCCAGCTCTGTTTCTTCTGGGTTTGGGACTTCTGTGTCAACAATATCATCATCATCCTCAATAGCACCGGCGCAGAAGAGTCCATCCAAGATACCATCGCGCTCGCAAATAGGCGGCACACAAACCGGCAGGAACTCACCTGGCCATCGAGCGGCACCCTCGCGAGAAGACTCTGCGACAATGCGAAGAAAGGCGCCACCCATGGCACCTCCGCCACGGATGAAAGACCTCTTCATACCCCCGGAGCCAACGGCGGTGGAGACTCCGATGAATCGGTTTGCTTTCAACCGTGGAGAACGCAGTGAGAGCGTTGTGCGTAACGTGCCACCAGAGGACCCGTACGATGACGGATCGTATGTGAGACACAGCCAGACAATGAGCGGGGGCTATACTCCAACCTACACTCCCACATACCCACCACCATCATTGTCATCGGGAAGTAGCCGACAAATCTCACAGACATCGTCGACAGGGACGGCTGGCACGGGGGTAACGATGCAATCTGGGTCTGAAAACTGGGAGACATTCAGTGAACAGTCGGACGATGCTCCCGAGGAAGAAGTCGACTTTCATCAGTACCGGCGGCAAATGAAGCGCTACACACCCGAGGGTGGACACGCCTCTACGCCGCGGGCAATTCAAGGCAAGAAGGTCCGAGGCATACGCAACGTAGGGGGACGAGAGTCGCCGAGTGAACACGAGGGCAGCATGGTGCGGGTGGTTGAAGGGTCTGAAGCGGGGTGGACCGACGACGGGGACGGGTACTAGGAGAGCGATGCTTGTTTGCACCTCCACCTGGGCGCTTGTACGAGGCCATGTCGAAGATGACTGCATGCTTTCCGGCAAAAGACGACTCACCACGCTACGGCTGCTCAATGTCTTGTCCGTTTTTTTCTTCACTTCTGGTTGTGCTTCTTGTCCGTTTGGGCTGTTAGGCTAAGGTTAGTGCATGCACTCCTTCCCAGGAAGCGGCCTGAGGGTGAAAATTTTCACTAGAGACTCACGGCCTCGTTTTGACCTACAGAGCGAGTGGTTGGGAGATTCGCCACGTACAGGGCGAGCAGGAGCGAGCAGGGGCATGCAAACGGGCTGCACGTCAGATTGCTAGTCAAGTGCTCCTTCTGTTTGATGCACTGGTGCCCTATGTTTTTTTTTCGCGCTTGAGGAGCGGAGGCGGGCCCCCCTTGGCTTCTTCATTTGTTCAAATTATTGTGGTCTTTTGGGTGAGCGGCTGAATTGCGGCGCAAAGGGAGTGGTTCATGGGAGGATTTCTGAGCGCGATTGGCGCAGTTTCCCGCTTTCTTGTATGCTTTTAATTGCTGTTATTTCCGGTTCTTTGTGTGTGAGCGTGGGGCAGAGGGGCATTGCATGCATCCAAGCTTGGTGCTCGGAGTGGAAGGAAAGATGAAAGGAAGGGGGGGTGCGTGTGCGTGGGAGAGGACAAAAGGAGACGTGTACTGCTACGATTGATCAGAATCAAAAAGACTGCAAACCGAGTAGTTAGACGGAAGAAAAGAATTGTAGTGACAAGTGACATTGGACAAGACGCGGGCGCAGGGATGGGCCAAGCAAAAGCCAGTGTTAGTGTGTGCAGGCGGAGCGGAAAGCTTGATATCCAGCGAGACTATGTGCACATGGGGAAGGCGCTCATGAGGTTGGAGTGGAAGAGGGATAGATGAGCTGCGTGCATGATTGCAATAGGCTTCATCTCCTTTGCGTCCTGGCAGATGCCGAGGGAGGATCTTGTCTCTAACATCAGGGTCCGCGGTGTGTACGGTCCTTCCTGTTTTGCACAAGACCGTCTGTTAAGCTCGATTGAGCAGGTGCAAGTGTGCGAACGACTGTGCTTTTGGCTGTGCGCAGGGGAAGAAGAAGAAGAAAAGGTATGCATGTCGAAATGGGGCAAACATGTGTTCTTGTTGGAGGGCATTGGAGAGAGTTGGCAATGGTGGCATGGCGAGAATGACGTTGCCCAAGGACGGGGGAGCAGCGGCTATCGAGTTTGCAGCGGAAACAAGCTTGGCCTCCACACGCGCACACGCACACAATCTCACAGACGACAAGACTGACGGCCCAACGAGCGTTACCCCACATGACCGGAAAAGGACCATGGGCAGCTAGTGCGTCTCTGCGGCGGGCTGCAGGACACCGGTTACGTGCAGCAGGCCAGCGATACTGGGCATGTAGATAAGCATGGCGCTTCTTACAGGCCCGGAGACGCTGCACCCAAGCATAGGCTGCACGGGGGCGAGGCAGCACATGTAGCCACGTATGTAGACGTATGCGCACCCATACGCCGCCGGCAGTGATGACTCGTAGCCACCTGCACCGCCGTCGGCAGCGCGGCGAAGCTGTGCAGGCGACGCTACACCACATGTATACTGCACTCAACTGCACCTACATACACGAGCGAGGAGCAAAGCACCCGTGGGCCATGGTGGCGAGGCGGCGTGACGGGCGCCACGCGTAGCGGTGCCATGTGACTGTGCCGGGCAGCCAGCGAGGCCCGATGAAGCAGAGACAGACGGCTGGATTGCATGCGAGCTGGGCCTTCTCGAAGGCAGGGAGAGCGTGGGGCGCTAGGGCGGCAGGGCTGATGGCGGGCGGAGGTGGCGGCTAGCAGGCGATCGCCCCCTCCCCCCCTAGACTGCATCGTGTCGTGCATGCAGCATGCTCTCCATACAATGTGCGGACAGCCAGCCCACTCGCAGCCGTCTAGTCGTGATCCGGTGTCAGCAGCAATTGGATTGTGCCCACCCAACGCCCAACCCCGGCTCGCACCAGAGCAGCGCTGTCCGCGCGGTCGTGTGCTCTGGTTGTGCGTCTCGGATAGGAAACAGGCACCCACGCGACTGCCCTCCGCCCTCCGCCCTCCGCCCAGGCCTCTACTTATGCTTAGCCTATTACCTATCGCACCCCCCGATAGGCACCCAGCTTACACCCGGCTCCCCCTAGCTTCGTCATCGGCCTTCCCTTATCACTGCCCCAGCCTCCGCTGCCTATGCACCCATCCATATTACCATTGCATCCATCCTCCATCCTCCCTCTTCCTCGCCCCGACCCTCTGCATCCACCTGCTGTCTGTCTCGACGCTCTGCCCGTCCCCGTGCATCGGCGACTTTCGGCGCAATCCAGGTCTGCACCTCTGATGTTGCTCGAGACTTGCCCTTGCAGGACCCGCCCAATAGCCAACCAGCAATAACGTAAAGGAATCCAGCGGCCGCACGTCACAACCCGTCTAGCCCCAGCACCAGCCGTACCTGGCACCCACCCAGCTGTTAGTCACGGGGGAAACGCCTTCAGGGCCCTTTACTACCCTACTTGTGCGCCATGTACTCGCCAAGGTCCTTCCCTTATCTGCAACACTCTCCACCCTCACCTCGCCCTTCGAGATCAAAGTCCGAAAGGATGGGCACTCGCCTGCGTTCTAGTCCTTCTCCACAGAACTCCCGGCCCGTTGTCGCGGACACGCCTATGCAATCTACAACTAGTAAATCCATGGTCCGTCCTGGACAGAAACCACAATCACCGCCCCCGTCCGACCGTGTGGCCCCGACCACCACCGCCGCTACTACTACTACAACTACAATGTCCAAACCCGTGGGCATTCCACCTCGAACTCCCTTGAAATCATCCTCTTCCGCACAGACATCGAGAATGAGGACCCAGCAGCGCCACTCGTCGGCACGCGCCGTACACAGCCATGACGCAAAGGCACTGCCACCCGCCGTTGCTGCCTTGCTCGCCGTCACCACCATCCCCAAGATGCCCGCTCGCCGACGACAGCGCAGCACAATGGACAGGCGCATCTCCATGGATGAGTTGATACAGGAGTGGAGACAGGAAGACTCAGACACTCCATCCTCACTGTCGGGCTCTCCAATGGACCTGCTGCTCGGTCGCGTCGACGAGTCGGATGACGAGTACAGCAGTGGCATGAGCATGGAACAGGAAAAGGCATCCTTCTTGACATCCAGGTCTATCTCCAGTGACTCCATCTCCCTACCGCCGTCGCTGGATTATGAGAACCCCTCCTACGCTTCCCACTGGGATAACATCAGCACACCAGATTCGATTGGCCGCAAGTCACTACCAGAACGTAAAGAGAAGGTTGTCTCATCACCGCCAAAAGAGGACTGCATTCTCGATCACCCCCTGCTTCACTTTGGGCCCGATGAGTGCGAGGACATCATCGCGACCAACATCAGCGACACCGCTCCGCCTGCGCCTCCAACCGAGCGATTCAGATCATTCAAATCTAACCTGACCGCTTCCCTCCAGGCATTAAAATCAGCCGCCAAGTCCTTTTCCAACTTTACAGCTCCCAGCGTGCCCCCGGATGATTTCCTCACGCGGTCACTCCTATCGCCCAATTTCACAAGCGAGATGCGACCAAAGATGGTCGACGGCCTGCCATCGCCCGAGTTGCGACGATATCTCAACCCGCAGCCTGCACCAATCTCAGCAACTGAATTATCAATGCATCTCCACGACTCCTTCACCCTCGATACCGATCTCGACCCCCACGCGCCAATGATTCAACTGCAGACATATGAGCGGCGTGGTCGTGCACAAAAGTCGCGCCGCAGTCGTGCCGCGGATCCGCTTTCCGAAGCTGGAAGGGTCCTGTCTAATGACGCACCAACCGTTCGGCAGCGTGAGCCCCGTGAGAACAGCGACTTTCTACGTGTCATTGTTCTCGAGATGAACATGCGCCGCGTAGGCAAACTCGACGCAAAGGCCGTCGGCAAGGCGCGGATCTGGCTCCCACCCAGAAAGCCTGCTTCCACTCAACCACCTTCGCGTCACGGTCCAAACTTTGTTCCCCTCAGATGGATTCCAATCAATTCATCGTGAGCTGCAACGAGATTGGATCCCTTGCAGTTGGGCACACACACAGCCTGGTGCCCGCTACCCTCGTTACGTTCATACGACAAGAGGCACCGAGCCTGCACGTTGCAAAGCGTCTCCACCTACGTAGCGCTTCGTATGCGACCATTCGATCCTGCGTCATTGGTTGGCATGGAGCCCTTGAGACGATCTCGGATTCAGTTTCTCCGAAAGAGATGGCATGACTTACCTTAGTTTGGCGCGACGGGCCTAGCGGGTCCGTCGTCCAGCAAAATTGCTCGACTCGGCATAGGCACCACGGAGACCGTTACGCTGGGATTGTTGTGCCTCGCTTACAAACGTTACACAAAACGTGGAATAGAGCACATGATCCTTTGGAACCCAAGAGATGGAATATTAGGTGTGTGTGCAAAAGGATTGGGTATTGCCAACTCAGCAACATGACACGCACGGAGTTTCGTCGGAACCGAGATCTTCACAGCGGGGAAGCAAGAAAAGAAAAAAAAAACCAGCACATCACTTGGTCAGCAACACGTCTCAACCAACCACCGTCCGGTCAAGATCAACCTGGCTGGTCCCTGAGTTGGCAGGGCGTCAAGGAATCTTGGGGCGGAACATGCCTTATTTTTTTTGCGATGCCACCCTGCTTCCGCCTGGCTATTTTGAACAAACGAGAATGGTTCCGCACAACCCCGACATGCCGGGTCTCGCCGATGCCGGTTAGATCAAGGGTGGGGGTGTTACATGTTTTCATCGAGCAATCAAGCCTCGGTATTACTACTATTCTACAGTAGGCCAGAGGCTACCGCAGCGCTTTTCGACCCGACTAGTATACGGAAAATGTTCCGTGGTACATTTGCATTTTTACCAATTTTTTTTCCTTTTCTCATTTCGCAAGCGGATTTAGCATTGTGCGTATTATTAGCGAAGCTTAGTCGATGCGCCGGTGTTGGTTTCGACTTTTTTTTTCTTCTTATTCTTTTACGGATCGCGGCAAATCAGCATGGGAAAGGGCGTTTTTGTTTGTGTGTGTGCCGACGCATTTTGACGGTCAAGCGCTGACCGCTTCTTCTTTGTTAACATTTTTTTTTTCGCTTCATCTGAGCATGTTTTCTCCCGCCCCATCTGTCCTCCGCGGCACACGTGGTGAGTTCAAAATTTTAGAAAGAGCGTGCTACATAGCGTTTGTGCGTGTGTCTACTACACCTTGGCACACTTACTATATTATACCCCAAAGAAGACTGGGGAAATGTAGGCGCGAGCCTCAGGAGTCCATGCAGTTTGGTTACTTTGCATCAGAATCTGTAGATATCTAGGTAGAGGCTACAGATGTTGATTTTACATATACACTCTTCGACATGCAACTTTCATTGCTTTTCATTGTGTTTTGTGCGCATTCCTAGAGGCGTACGGGTTTCCTTCGCTAGCGATACCTTGAGCAGTATAGACTGTGCCAAGTAAGTATCAGATAGATTAATTTATCGGTATCCGACGCGCACACGCCTGCTTGCATATGTAAGTATGCGTTGGAAGAAGAAGAAGAAAGCAAACAAACAGCAAAAAGGAAATACCACAGCAGCAAAAGCAAACACCACAGTAGCAAAAGAAAGTACCACGACAGAAAAAGGAAATATCATCATGTAATCAAGGTTGAGACTAAATTAACTACATCCGAACAACAAGAAGATAATGCAGTCAGCAAACATTTGCAGCAAAAGAAAGATTAGAGGCGGGGGGTTGGGGGTTGGAGATGTATTAATTTCTTTTTTCTCGTTTATTTGATTCTTCTCTCCTCGCTTGCTTGACTGCCACACCAAGAACAGAGAGCACAACAATGGTAATTCGCTTTGCCCTTAGTACACACGTGCATTAGAAGTAAACAACAACCATTCATAGCAACACTTTCCTAGAGTAAAAAAAAAAATACACACCAAGGGATAATACCTCAATCTATCTATTCTTTACCAAAAACACTGCGAACTTGGATTTGCATTCTACATCACCTCCACCCTTAAAAAAAATTTTGTCTGCATCTTTTTTCCCCTGCACAACCAACACCTCCATCACCATGGATGCAAGAACAGAAGAAGAAAAAAAGTATGACCTAACCAGGGGTCGAACCTGGAATCTCTTGATATCGAACTCAATCGTAGTCAAGCGCCTTGCCATTGGGCCATTAGGCCGATGCTAATTCAGATGAAATTTGCTTCGATGCAAGTCTGGTGTCTTAACTCCGACATAACCTCTGTTTTTTTCTCACCCCTCATCACCAATCCGCTACGTACCAGCGCCATCGCCACCCAGTCATCCCATCTCTCCCTCCCCCTCCCTCAACAACCCCATCTACGAATAAGGAGAAGAAAAAAAAAAGCTCCGTCAAGATCGGGGATACACCAACGCCGTTACCCCCCCGCTCCCGGCTTAGCGCTCCACACCGAATCGCGCAAATGACGCCAATGGCGTCATTGCCCCTTCCCCCCTCCCCCCCGTTTCCAACCCACGTGTCGTAAACCCGCATAACCTTGTAGTGTAGGTATGTTGGGCACACGCGGACATGTTTTTTTCCTCTTTCTTTCATTCCTTTCTAGCATAAGAAGAACGGAGCAAGGTTCTACCAATAGAGTTTCCACCTTTCTCCACCATGTATAGTGTTCCCTTGCCCCGCCCTCTTCAATAGAGGGAATGTTTTTTTTTTCAAAAAAGATATGGGAGGGAGGGGGAGGGGGGGAAAGCACAGAAAGTTGGGGGGTTTTTTTTTTCTCTCTTCTTTGAAAGGGGGGGAGGGCTATAACACCATTGATATTATTGGTTGGGTTGGGGGGGCTAAAGAAAAAAAAGGGTTTTTTTTGTTAATTACATGGAGGAAGAAAAGGTGTGGCTGGTGGGTTTTCGGCATACTTCCCGTTTTTTTTAAAACTACTGTGTACATGGGGAACGCATACGTATGCGTAGTAGGAAAGTTTATGTTTGTGTTGGAGTTTGTGGAGGTTGGTGGAAGCGGTGCGGAATTGGTGCGCGTGCGTAGGGTGTGTCGATGCCAATGCCGGGCGCGGACGCGGAGGGGAGAGGAGAGAGGACGGAGTTACTATTGGAGTATACTACTACTGCTACTGCTACTACGGCGATTGCTTGGAGAGGTGCGTGATGCAGATGCGGATGCGGGATTGGGGGAGGTGCAAATCGGGCCGAATATGGGGAGAACGTGTTAACGGGAAACAGTTATCAGGCTAGGTGGGGGTTTGCTTTTGGGTTGCACGTGCCTGATGTCATTGTGTAGTGGATGGGAGTAGTAGTCATTGCTGTGTGTTTTGGCTTATCTTGTTGCATGGGTACGAGGTAATGGGCGGTGGTGAAGGTTTGGGGGTTTTCTTTCCGAATGGTTAGGGAGTGAGGACAGGGTGGCTTGGGGTGTCGGCCAAGACAGTAGACATCATTGTATGTGTGCCACAACGTGTAATGGTCGTGTGTTCGCGTGCCTAACGGTCCAACGGTCTGATGCTCGCATGTCTCACTTTCTTTCCATCAGTCCGGCAACACGTGAGAACGACATGTGCACGTTAGCCCAGCATTGTGACAAACCCAATCAAACAATCCGGCTTGTCAATGCCCAAGCGGATGAACTTTTATAAATCCGTATTACTTACACACATCCGAACGATAGCCTGTTTCCCCTGTGCAAGAGTTACATATAAAAAGAACAGGGTAACATGAGCGCCCGAAATACGCCCGTATACCCCCCAGCCTATCTACATTCATCGGCCCTTTACGGCAATGCGGCACTCCCACACATCCAGCTATGCATAGCTTGCCCACCCCATGTATAGCACCGCCAGGTTGCGCTCATCAGTAGCCTGCTGGATGAGTTCATTGACAGTGGCCTTTGTGCTCAATGTCTTGCTCAACTTCTTCTCCACAATGCTAAGCGCTCTACCCGCCTCACCGGCCTGGTCTTCCTTTTCCCGTTTCTTGTTGCTCTCATGCACGACACCTGCCGCTTCCTCGACTGCCGCCGCTTGGCCCGAAGGAGCAGGTGTACCCCCAGGCGCGACACTGGTCGAGCGCGCGGTACCGTTGGCACCGGTTTCTTGATTTGCTTCTTGCATGCGTTTTGCTTTGGTCGGAGTGACGCTCCAGTTGACCAAGGGGTCGTAGCGCAGAACATTGAGCAGAGTCATGATGCTTTCCCTTTCTTCGCGAAGCGTATCCATAGTGAACTCGCAGCAGCGCCGGAAAACCCCCTCTGTCTTGGTGTACCCCATACCATCCACCAGGTCACGCGTCAATCGGAACGGGACCACTTCCGGTACCGGCAGAACCCGACCAGCCTCAAAACTCACTCCAAGGTCAATGTGCACTACTTCACCAGACTTCTCGTCAAGCAAGATATTGTGACAATGGCGGTCGCCCAAACCAAGAACATGGCCTAGGATCGAAATGGCAGCCGTCGAGCGCGTGTACGCAAGACGACGCTCGAACCATTCGTCAGGATCTTCAAAGCGCTCGAGCAGGAAGTAGCGCATCACAGGATGGAAATTTTCTGCAATCTTCTGCCACACCTTGACTCGTGTAGTGAGAGAGTCCTGTTGGCAGGCGCCAATCTCTTTGCGACATCTGTCGGGCTTGTAGTCATTCGGATAGTACTTTTCATGAGCCGGCATGACCCACAGATGCAGCGGAACAGTGTTTTGCACAAACTCCATCAGCCCAGATCTGGTTGAGAGCGGCAACACCTTGTAAGTACGAATGCCAAGGTTTCGAATACGCGTGGCCGTGTGATTCTTGAGCAGCCGTGAAACCTGGTCAAAGACCTGTTCCATGATGGCATCCTGACGTAGGTCGTCGTTTCCAGACTTGAACAATTGCTTGTAAGGCCGACCGTCGGTACCTTTGGCGGTGATGATCTTGGGCGCACTGAGGCCGTTTGCGATGCTCATCGTCGATTTGAATCCTGCAATCCTTGGCAGATCACTATAGTTCATGTTGGGCCGGACTTCAATCTGGAGTGTAGCAGGAGGTACGTTCAATCTGGGCACCTTGCTGACCAAGTCTTTGGACTCCTTGTATCTGTCGAGCTGTAGCTCACGTCCTTGCTGTGTACTCTCTTTCTCGCCCTTGAACATGGCAAGATGGTGGTAGATTTCGTTGGACTGGGAGATGGAGCTCCAGTATGGCCGGGCTCTCTTATCACTGCTCAGTGCAGTCGCAAGACCAGACGCGGCTTTCTGGCGAGACTTTGCTGATTCATCTTTAGCTCGGACGACATCCTCCCTAGTGATGGCGCCGACTTTCATCTGAATGGCAAAGATTTGATGCATGCCGTGATATGGGTGCTCTACGCAGATACGGAATACAAGCTCCATTAAGAGATGCTGGAAATCATTCTCCTCCGCCTGCAGCCGCGATGAGAGCTGGTTCATCAATAATGCAAACTTGCCGCTTGGAACATCTTTGAGATATGTCTTCACAGCCTGATTTGCTAAAGGAGTGTCGCAGTACTCTAGCCACAGAGAGAAAACACGGAGCGCATCGTTGTTGTACTCATCACAGGCGGAAAGCGACAAGAGGTAGTTCTCTAGGCATTGGCGTAGGAACTGCTCGCGTCCTTTGCGCATTCTTTCGTACTCTGCATTGTCGAGGTCATACCAAGTTTTCGCTCGACGGGCGTTTCGATGATATGTCTCTCGCATTCCTCTGCTCTTGTCGGTCTTGGAAAGCTTGGTGAAGTCATGGTATTCCTGCAACTTGCGGTCCATCACGGTTTTGATGCGATCCATATCTTCGGCTGCTTCGGGGCTAAGAAGTTGTTTGTCACAGAACAGTGCAAATTCATGGAAAACTTGGCCTGATCCCGAGCCTTGTCTTTGGCCTTTGAGCTCTCGAATTGCCGGCTCGAGATACTCACTCATGATTGTGTCAGGTTTTGCCAGACGAGCCTCGGCGAGATGGTGGCCCTAACGTTATCAGCAATGGGATCAACATAGCTAGTGTATGTTACATACAAGTCGAGCGAGTAGCACGGGAAGACTTAAATCAGCGTTCTGAGAATCAAAGTTGGCGTGGTCGATCAGATGTTGCCGCATTCGAA